TTTGAAAAAAATACTTCAGACAATATCTTGTGTTTAGTTTTATCAAATGGGCATTTACAAATAAGGCATTTGATCTATTAAAATGTAGCAATTATTGGCTACCCAGCCAGACAGCCATTTGTCTCATGATTAGATCCCATATAAGTTAATTCATTTTAACACAAATATTAGTCGATTTCCTCTTATTTGAATCGGAATAGTTGTAGTCTCATTTAAAGGGTATGTGAGAAGATATCGTAAAACACACAGATTACTTTGAACAAAAGAGGACATTTTTGTTCCTCACGAAGTGACTCGATCCGCAATTGATATACTTGACGACTTAAATAATGCGAATAATTCGTAATTCCGATTTTAGTATTTCATTTTATGTTAAGCTCAATTACAATAGGTCACTGGGTAATATGGCATATCCTTGGAGGTATTTGCAAGTGCTTCCATTGCTGAGGTTAATAGTAAGAGTGATACATTCTGTGCAAGCAAGATGACTTCTATGGCCTCAACCAACTTGCCTGTTAGCTATAAAGGGAAAGATTATTATGCCTAACTATACTGATTTAACGAAAGGAAGTTTGAGAGTGCCAGAAATCGAATTCTTCGCAGAAAGTTCATTGTGATCCAGAAAACGAGACAATGACTTAAGCTTTGTGGTTTCATTCGTTTCATCTGGCTTCATTTCAATTCGCGTTAATGGTACAATTTTGAATACCGTTTTCACAACTGAGTCATTTATGCTACTTTTGCCGATCGTGAAGTGGCTCAAGCACTTTTTGAAGTAGATTCCTACTTGAATGATGCGAATGATTTATTTGCATTTCCTTCAATATTAAGCTGTTTTATAAAAATGACTTGTTAAGTTTACTGCTTTGACATTGTAAGTGACAAGTGGAAAGAAAGCGAAATATAAAGGTCAATTACAGGACCGAGAAACTCACAGCTCCAACTTTGTTACGTTTGGCGTCAACATCGCTTTGTCCTACTGAAGAGATAACAAAACAGAACACGATGAAAGTGAATAAAAGTGTATGGTGATAGACTATATAGACCAATTTACGCTGATTGTGATCGAAGTCCATAAACTTGTTTGCTTGAGCTGAAACTACCTGCACAGCCGCCGATAACAAATTGGAGTTCTTTGAAATTATCGCCTCCTCGAGTAAACTATTCTTGTCAGATAGGAGAGCATCAAGTTGCCTTTCAATATCATCCATTGTCTTGGGAATGAACTTGAATGAAAGAAATAAAGGTGAGCAATGCGAATGCTAGATTTTCAAATCAAAACATGCCAATCGAGGTACTCTGATGGGAATCTAAGAAGTATCAACAGTATGATCACATTTTTACCTAATTTCTTTCCCTTCATTGCATCACCTCCCTATAACTCTTCAGTCATTTTCCATGTCAGGTCCTACAAACTCCGATTTTTTTCCTCCAGTCTTGGTGTCAAGCCTGAAACCCCTAATCGAACATAGTATCAATTTTCACTGATCAACTTGGGAAATCGCACTCACAGTTGTGTCGATATCAAGTAGCAGCCACATCAGTAGAGGAAAACTTATTTCAATGTCTACCTCTTCTAGCTCTTAGTGAAAGTTCAAATACACGACTGAATGCGCATTACATTTTCTGCAGCACTAGCGTGTCCTCAACTGGTACTATTATTGATTTAGGCGCATTCTGCGCAAATACACAGACTTACTCTCAATGGCTACTATAACAAACTTCCCTCTACTTAGATAACTATTCATTAAAATTATTTTACGTTATTACCAAAATTCGAGTAGAAATGCTCCCAATATTGTAAAAACGTTTTTGCATTGGATTTCCTTTAGTCAAATCTCGTTTGTTTCACAAATTCTCTGAAAATTTGGACAATTTCACTGGAGACTTTTCTTCGGTAGAAAGAGAAAAAAAATTGCCGTAGCACTTACTTTAATTTGATGAAAGCATTTGCGGACAATGACCATCGATCCTGGAAGACTTCGAATGCAAGGGGTAACAGCATCATCCGAGGCAGGAAGATAACTGCAGAACGATGGACTATCTCCAAATGCTATTGATTGCGTTCCCGAATTCGTCATTGCTGAACAGGATGGATGTTATCACTCAAATGTTGTCACTTACTATAAAATTCAAAGGTATCACCCTGAGAGGAAGTACAGTTACAGTTGACACACACCGTTTGAAAATCATCTATCATATTTGAAGCATTTAAGTAACACGAATCGCATTTTTCAGGCATGTTAACCGTGTACTGTTTGCATATTTTGGTTATCATTGAAACCTTCTCTTGAATTATCAGACAGGCTATTAAATGAGTTTTCCTTGGCATCTGAAGTAGCAGTTGTGGAGAGATAACCAAAGTACTTCTTGTTCGACCGTCAGTATACTTTTGCATTTCCTTGTTACTCAACTTCCAGTAAGTGAAGTTAGGATATGACATGGTGAGTTCCCATTGCAACACTTTGTTTCGTGGACAGATAACATAATTGCAGGTACCAGTTAGAACAGTTTCTTCAGGTGAAGAAATTACCGATCTGCTAACCCACGACAGTGGTCTTACAATCCTAAATGCACAGTGAGACTTAGACAAGCAAGAACTCACTTGATGACCACATTCATAGTTGGCTCATTGGCAACTAAGATGGTGTGTCTATCACGGTGAATATATCGCTTATTGCTTCCGTATATAATCACAGTATACAAATAATTAGTGTTCAATTCTGTTTTTGGAAGACAAACTCTTCTATTTGCCGCTAGAAGTTCAAAGCTCTTCCCATCTTCTAAGGATATCACCTTAACAATGAATGAATCCACATTCTAGAAAAGGAAAGATAATTGCAATGTTTGCAAACCGCCGTGACAATGGAAGGAATGTCTGGATGTGGTATGATTTCCGGAGATAAACAGACATCCTGCTTCATCCACTTCACAAAGTGAAATGGACCAGGCTCATTTAAAATTTTAAGTCCCACTTCTTTCAGCGAAGGCGTTGAAAATTCCAAAAGCGATACATAGGATACACTTTTTATTTGATCGAAGCTCTGACAAACCATTGCATGGTCTGATGGGTCTTGGATTTCAAAAATTTTGTGTGCTTCGATACTTTCGCCATCGGGTCCAGAGGTGGTAATAGAAAGAATGTATAATCCGCCCTAATTGGAAGAGGTTTAACCGGCACATATTTTCATTACTTACTACTAATTTGGCTTGGAACTGGTAAACCCCACTTTGCACCTCTACTTGGTAAAACTGGTTGGGATCGCTGTATTGAGTGAAACGATACCTCGTTTTGCCTAGATTGCCCTCTCCTCTTAAGATGAAAGAGAGAGCTGTATCATTGACAAAGACGTTGTAGTGTTCACCACATCCGGTAATGTATTCACCAATTGCGATATTAAACACCGAAGCTCCATTTATTCTAGGGGGCTGCTTTACTACACAAAGAAATGATAGTAATTGGGTGTAAGTCAAAGAAAACTCACCAATCGTTGGGGCTGGGGTGGATTTTAGGGCATCGACAACAACTTTAACCTTCGTTAGCCTCGTAGCTGCAATTTTCTCACCCACATAGGAGTCTAATATCGCCATAACTGTATAACTTCCCTCTCTGTTAAATTTGCCATAAATGTTTTGGACGTGGGGAAGCTCAATGTCGATTTGAACCTTGAGGAAAAGAACGGATTAAATAAAACAATTTTCAAAAGGACTTGAGTGTCTCCCCAATTGCCTTAAATCTAGAATCTGAATTAGAGTGAGCATTGCAGTGATTGGTGGCCTAACGTAAAAGACAATTTTGCAACACGAGCTGGTCATGTAACCTCCTCACTAACCTAGCTCAACGCCAAAATCAATTTTTCTTCAAAACGAATAGAATTTTTAAAATCTTCGTGGGAACCAAGTGTCTCGACTCTTGACATATCTTGATCACTCTTAAAGCAAATATTATTTATGCCTATGATACAAATATGACATGCATTGCATGAAGAAAGTTCATCGGACAATCTGTATGTTATCGATAGGTTTACATATTCCATTTTTGCCAACTCAAAATCTATTAGAAAATGATTTGATTGGAGCACATTTTAACGCACCGCATGGGTAATGTTAATTTTTATCCAAGAACAACGAACATTGGACAACATGGAGAAGCTAATCGTGCTCCATTTTTTTAATTTTAGATTTAAAAAGAAAAAAAGTGATAATATAATTATAACGGACACGCATCCCCTAAAACACTAGTTAAATTAGTCCACTTTCCCCATTGGTCCATTTGAACTGACGAGTCTCCAAGTCTACTTATAATTCTTCAGTAGAAAGAATTTTGCTATCATTATAATTTATCAATTTGCGCGCGTGTCAAGTAAATAAGGGACATCTGGGAAGAAAAACGTATGTTTCATATCATTAGTTTGAGATAGGATCAAAGTTTAGAAAATGGCAAACTGAACAATTTTCACAAACTCACGGCATAGAATTCCGACTTTTGTATCAGTCCAGCAATTACACACAAAATGGTCGACGATGTTATGACAACTATATCATCATTTTTCTCTATTTTTGGCCGATTAACAACCTCATAGTATGTCAGCTCGTCCTCTTGCGATTTTTGCGTCACCAGCTGGAGTGGAGACCATTTTAGATGGATATTTTTAAATACAGACCTACCCTTTTACTGCTGTTTCTAGCTATGGAACCGTCAGAACATGTTTTTGAAGCCGAGTCAATTATGTATCCACTCTGGCAAGTGTAGTGAATATGCTTTAAAAGAAAATAAATTTTAATGATAACCCTTTTTTGACAACACTTTTTAAATTTCATGATTGTGATTGCAGTGAGCAGTGATAATAGTAAGGAGGCATTCAGATGATATTGCGCTTCTCATTTTAACCACATGGGGTGTGCGATAGACTTTCCTCCACGTGGGGCACCCTGGGCAACGTATACTCATACGACAAAAAAGTCTATTAACTGGCAGTTGACTTCAAACTTCAAACTACCCTCACCCCATTGTTTGCCATATTCGACTACTTCCACACTACTCACCTCACCTTTATCCACTTTTTTGTCTGTCTCTTTTACATCTTTGAAACTCTCTTCTGTTCCCCCTTCCCCTCTCGACTTGTTTCACTTTGATGTTGCTCATCTTCTGTAATGCCTGAAGTCAACTAAAGGGCTAATGATAACTTTCACAACGCCTGCCATTTGATATAAATAAATAAATAAATTGTAACCACATTGACTTACATTGAAACGAACATCTTGGTGATTGTTCGCAATCACAATGCGAATTATCTTCCCTTCAGGAAAACTGTTGAACGTATATGTCGTGGACTTCGAGCCACTGCAGGAGATAAATTGATTTTTAAAGGATTTCAAAGAGTGGACAGCCAACGGAAAAATCATATTTTCTACAAGTCAAAATGCGCATATAAGATCAAGGTACATTTGTATGTAAATATGCGCAGTGGTGGGTGTTATAATTTTGTAAATCCTACAGATTAGTTGCTTTTGTGATGTGACAGATTAAATATTTTGAACTTCATCATATGTTGTCACCCATGCAATATGGGAATCGATGAATAATTATCTATTGTGGAGAGTGATGCTCTACCTGTTTGTGTGGCCTCCAAAGCTTTGAGTGAGATATGCACTACATTCATAATAATTTCCACTTCACCACTATCCTTACTAATACCTTTAGTTCAATTTTTTCAGTTCTATAACTTTTAAATTTCTTTCTGTTCAGATTTTGAGATGAGTATTCGTATAAACATTGAAACAAGTCCTTTCTAAAATTATTCCTGTGCATTAAGCCCACCAAATCAAACACTAACTAGTGCATACGGTCAGTTACTTTAATTAAGTGTTTAAACGAATTATAGAATAGTTGGCTTATGTTTGATTGAAGAGCATGCGAAGTTAAATAGACTAATAAATGAAACAACACACCATTAAATATGAAGTTTAGTGACGATTGTCTTTCAAACTGAACGGTAGCAATGAGTTGTTGGCCTCCATTTACCGCTAAAGAACACGAAAAGAGTTCATTTACAGCCACCTCCAGAGGGCATTCAAAACTGTAATTAAAGTTGTAGGCTCTTTCCAATGCGGTTGTTATACCACTACTACAGGGACAGCTCGAAAGGTGAAGAAAAGCACACAAGAGACAGAATTTCCAACTTGTGATCTAGAAGTAGATGTAATGGATTATGTAAGGAGAGACCTCTACCAACCATGACGGCAGCTCAACTAGGGAAGAATAGCATTTAATGCAATTTTCGCCAATCCTATTTATACTCTTATGAATGCAGTAAGAATTAATATAGCAAACATACGAAACAATAAGGTCTGAGCTAATTTTAAGAACTGTTTCAATTTAATTTAATCAACCGTGCAAGATGTTTTCAATGAGTCGCCCTGTTGTAAATTAACAAATGAATAGTAACCAACTACTGCCGCCATTGTTTTTATGGCGCGAATACGCTTTTGCAACATTTACCCTGAACCTATAACTTTAACGATAGTTTTCATTGTTTCTACCTCGCCAATAAACACTGCCTTAATTCTGCGTATTCTAACTTTGGTATCACAATATTAAGAACACATGATTAAAGCAGTCAGCCTCTTTAGTCAGTCTAACATAATCAATATTGGGGTATTTGGCCTGAATGAAATATACTCATTAATGAAGTCCTTCTATCGTTAGTGCTTTATTGAGGAAAAAAATGAAACACATAAAGTATAGTTTTTTTTTAAATTGGAAACTAGTTTGTGTGGAATTTCCAGCTTGCGCATCGTCAGAAGTTAATATCTTTTTCTAGAGAAAATTAAATCCATTTCACTTTTAACTCCACTTTTGGAAACCTGCATAGTTGTGAAATTTTAAAACTGACCGCTCTTATAACACTTCTTGAAGTTGTTCATGTTGAAGAAATATATATTACCAAAATGCCACCTGCAATTTTTCAAAATGGGGTGTGTGATAGACTTACCTCCACGTGGTGCACCCTGGGCAACGTATACTCATACGGCAAAAAATTCTATTACCTGGCAGTTGACTTCAAACTACCACGACCCCACTGTATGTCATATTCGACTACTTTCACAGTACTCATCCCACCTTTTTTCCACCTTATCTACCTTCGTCTTTGATACACTCTTCTGTTCCCCCCCCCCTCTTGAATTTTTTAAACTTTGATGTTCCTCCCCCTCTGTGAAGATTGAAGTCAACTAAAGGGCTAATGGTAACTATCATAAAGCCTGCCATTTGATATAAATAAATAAATAAATAATATATTTTTCAAAATCAAA